AAAGTAGATTTAATTATTGACTATTAAATACTTTGCATTCAATAAAAAGAACTAGATTTTGATCTTAAAAATAGCAGAGCTGTGAAATTCTTATGATAAATATTTTTGAGCTTTTACCGAAACAAAGCCAAAATATTAGATGCAAGTACCTGAAAATATTTAGTTTAATATTAAGTAACTTTTTTTTTACTTTGTTACTTTTCTCAGAGAAGTCGGCTGAACAAAAAATTTCAAAATTTAGTCACTTTCTTTGACTAATCAATCAATCAACAAATCTATCACCTTTTTCAATAGCTCAGAAGGTTTTGTCTTTTAATTTACAACTCAACTGCGTAAAGGCTTGAAAGTTCTAACTTTACATGGAGAAAAAAATCTGGTAAAATTACCAGAAATTTTCGGGAAGTACTGCCTACTTCCCGAAAAATTCTGAGATCGGCAGTTATTAGATTATGAGGAAATGGTTGGCCAACCCACTGGTAGTTTCAACAGTAGTACGCGAAAACTTTGAGAAAAAAAAAATTGAAAAATTATGATGTTATCTTTAAGAAATTTCTCGAAATCTGTAAAAATTCTACACATCTGCCACTGAATACAACAACACCGGAATGCAACAGTTCTGTTACACTGTAAAAAATTCCTGATCAAATTACGGTTAAAAGTACGGTACTATTCACAGCACGTTTTACTGAAAAGTCTATTTTTACTGGAACATGTCACCTAACAAAAAATCTGTATACCGTAATTTGTACAGGAATAATTACAGTAAATCTATGAATCATTCTAATTAACTAAATATTACGGTAGAATATTTTACGGTAAAAAGGATTTTAAGGATGATGCAGCCAAAATGCCGGTACTTTATATCGTAATTTGACCAGGAATTTTTTGCCGCTTAGATAGCGTGTGATCTAAATTATATTAAATTTTGGAAATTTACACCATAATGCAATCTTCAAAATTTACATGATTTGGTTCCCAGACATTGGTTTTGGTTTAGATGTACCTATGTCTCTGTGAACAAATATTTTTTATTATGAACATAATAAAATCAAAATATTGTTCATGATTAAATCATATTCATCAAAACACTTAATTTTGTTAGCCTCTTCAGGAATTGATCCTATTTTACATCACTTGTTGAAAAAAAAACAAAAAAACTACGATTATAATTTAGAATTAAATGATCCAAGTTATTCATTTTTAATTTATACATAACTTAACTGTCTTAACCTCAATAACTGACTACCTGACTTAAAAATGTTTATTAATAATATAATCTAAGTTAGTACTTGATTAAAAAACTTTCATTCGCTTCAAAAATATCCAGGTTGGAAATAACAGTCGACGCGTTCCAAGCGCTCAAAAATAAGCGCCTATTCTCAAGACTTGACAGACTGAGAAGAATGAAAAATGACATGAAATATAAAACATTAAGTTGCCAACGAATATTAAGCCCTGATTTGCCTTTCTTAGCCACAGTGGTGTTTCTTATTCTCCTTTTCATTCTTCTTTTTATTCTCTCTCGACTACTGAGGTTTTTTCATTTTGTTTCTCACGTTTATTTCTCCATTTTTCGTTGGAAACTTTACGTTTTATCTTTCAAAACAATTTTGTTTAGTTTCAATCACGTCTGACAAGTCTTGAAAATTGGTGCTTATTTTTGAGCGCTTAAAACATGTTGACTGATAATATTTCTAATCACCTTCCTTAAGTTTCTTGAGATAATTTATTTACTCTCAGTTCGTAATTTTGCTTTATTTATTTAAATCATTAATTTTTGAATCTACACTACTTTGACTTACTTGAAAAATGTGTTATTAGAGTAAAAATTCCATAATCAGCTTATAAATAAAAAATTTTCAACTTTTTACATTTTTTTAGCATATTGGAAAAGCAGGAAGTGGTTTGAAAAAACTATGTATTTTTAAAAAAAAACTAATTTCACTCTTCCCAAAAAGGTTGGCCACCTCTGTATTATATATTGTCTAACACACTTAAAGTTCGGCGAAAATCGGTCAAATTAACCTTTCTCAATGCTTAAACTGATGGAGATTTTGGCCATTGAGTCAAATTATTTAATTTCAATCCTATTGCTATCCTGCAGGCTTACAAAAAAGAGCTGTCACGTACAATACTTTCAATTATGCAAAATTGAATCATAAGGAAATTATTTCTTTTAACTCTTCTCATCCAAATTAAGAACTTTAAACTTTGACATTGTGAACTAAGAAACTGAAGCACATTAATAAAATCGAACTTAGTCTGAATCAGCTTATTATGGTTAATTCGCTTTCCTCGGCTAGTTTCAATCTCTTTTCCCCTTTCTTCCCTTAATTGATTTTCATTTTCTTTCACCTGCTTGAACAGATAAAAATTAGGATAATTATCCATTGTTTGTAAATCTCTAACTATGTTTGATAATTTTAAATTCCTGACACATGATTATAATCGATTATTTTTTTCTAAATAAAATTAAAACAAGTATTAAATGAATTTTTTTAGAATTTCGGATTATTATTAAGCAATTTTTTATGGTACTTTTTTTTAACGAACTTCATTATTTATTGTAACGCATGGATAAGTGAAATTATAAAAGTAGTGCTATTGCTTTGCTTGAAATGAAATCAATATTTAAATGTTATTCTTTCAAAAAGCTTTAAAAAACGTATTTTTAATAATATTTTTCTTATAAAATCTCAGAGAAATTGGTTCAATGTTGAAGCATAATATAAGTAATATAAAACAAAGAATCATGCAAACCTTACAACCTTAATAGACTTAATTACTTCTCGAACTGTTAACCTCATGTTTAGGAGTAATATTTAACATACACTGGCATTTCAAAGCACATTGCTTGAAATTTTGGATCTATAATAACATTTAAATTTACTGTGATCTTAATAAGATGCCAAGTTGAAGAAAAGCATCGCGCAAATTAATTAAATACTTAATTTGTAATTAATTAAATAATTAATTAAATTAATTAATTAATAAATTAGTTAATAAATTAATTCAATTCTTAGTTCTTAAATTTGTTCACATAATATTACACGGTCAAAATAAATGATGTTGCATTCAATTATATCCTCACTAAGTTTTTTTTAAAGCTTTCTTTTATTTAAATTATGTAAGTTAAAAGAAACTGACTTAAAATTTAAAGTGATACCAATTATCTACTACAAATGATTTCTCATTCAAATCGATATATAATTGCAGAAATAATTAAATTGTAAAAATGTGTAAAATGCAGTATCAGAAAACTATAGCCTCTAAGGTAGGTATTCTTTAAAATTTTTTTATTTTATATAAAATTGTAATCAATAGAAATTAATTTGAGTTGATCAATGAAAACGTTACACGCCGAGTGAAAAAAATTGAAAATTGAGAATTTCAATTGATAAAATAATAAAATAAGCAAAATTATCTACAGTGAAGCTTACCAAATTTTATCACAATATATATTATTTACCAAATTTTATCACATACTGCAAAACAATATTTTATAGTAAATTTTACAAAAATCATTACCAAAGCTCTTCGATAAAAATTACCGAGCTTATTAGTTTCCCTAGAGACAGAAATAAGGTAAATTTTACCATATTCTGTTAGTTTTCTCAGCATATGAAGACTATTAACTGATCTTCATTTTTAATTATATGTCTAGTTCCTTGGATTTTATTACATATATCAGTTCATAGTTTTTTTACATTTATGTTTTAGGAAATAAGATATAGAGAAGTAAAATTCTTAAGAGGAGGCGGTAGGGCTTATATCAATAATGTTAAAACTGACTTTTTTCCATGTACCTTTTTTAAGAAACTACTTACGATATAGCTTTGAAATTTTTTGGGGATATTTGAGATCACCAGCTGTATGCTTCGATATGTTTTTTTAGCGTTAACAGAACGTTTTGCGCTAATATACGTTTTGAGTTTTGAAAGATTTTTGCTCAAAAATGATTAAACTTTTCAAAAAAATAAAAAGTTCTCAGTTCATAATTTTTAAAAATAAAATCTGCTAAAGATATGTATTAACAGTTATCACAATATAAACATGTATATGTAAATATTCTGTGAAAAAAAACTGAAGCAGTATCTTATTTAGATGCTGAGAAAAGGTACATCGAAAAAGATCATTCTTAGCATTATTGGTATATGTCCTACCGACTCCCCTAACTATTTTAAGGAAGAAGCATAGATGTTTTGTTGATAGACTTATGATGTTTGTGAAGTTTAAATGAAAGTTGCTGTATCTGAACTATCAACATAAAGTGACAAAAACATTTATTTAGTTCTTAATTTTGTTCTTTTTGTTGTGTAAAAGAAATTAAAGAAAACTGTAAAGTTCTAAATGCCTTTAAAAAAAGGCAATACGAATGACTGATAAAGAATGTTGTTCGTATTATTATGATATTTTGTTTTTCTCTAATAATGAGTGACACTTGGCCTTTATTTCAATAAATTGTCAAATTTGACTTAAAGCTTTTAAAATAAACCAGTAAATTATTATATTTCATGATAACGGCTAAATAATAGAACAATCATGCAGATTCGAAATAATATAAATATGATAAGCAAAACAATCGAGAGTAAACGTTATTAGAAAGAAAAACATGATGGAACGTACAATAGATTATACAAATGTAGAGCACTGTTGAATAACAATAATTTACGCTACAGTTAGAGAAAATTGGACTTGTGGAAACAAACACAAGATGATTGACATCCCAAAAAAGTGAAAGCGATGATTCTATCACTTTCAATTAAAGAAATTTCCTCTTCCTACCTTCATCGATCGTAGGGAAAAAAAAAGTTCTAAAGCTCGCAGAAATAGAACATAATTGTAAGAACAAAAAAAGAAATGAGAAAACGAGATTTTCTACGTGTTCGAAGTTGATGGAAGGAGATCATCTGTCCAGTCGGGGAATTAAAAAAGATGCTCTGATTTGGCGAATTTAAGCCAAAATTGGCGCCTGATGAACTTACAATAAATGGTGAAGTAATTCAGGTAAGGATCGCAATTGCAAATATTCACCTGCTGGATTATGTCATTAACAAAGAGTATCTTCGGCAAGGTAAGTTTAGTACATTACCAAATTACAAAGTTTCTTAAGGACATAATGAAAATACTTTGAAAATATTTAATTGAATTAAGGATTAATTATATATTTTTGGTAAAATATAATTAGACTTTAAAGATAATTTTTTAAAATTTTTTTTTGTAGTTTCATATCCTGGGACATTTGATTAAATATCCTAGATAATTTTCTAAAATTTTTTTTTTTAAATGCCTGTTTTTTTTAATAAATATTTTATAACATTAAAGCATATAATAAATGTGCTAAAATTGTTCTCAAATCTTCCACGAAAGATTTATATAGCATTTATTTATTATTATTTTTAAAGTGAAGGTTTAAATTTTTGTCTTACTTTAAAATATTATACTTTATTTAATATTAACCATTTTGCTTTATTCTAAAAAAGTATTTATATTATTATTTAGTATTTTTTTTAAAATTAGTATTTTGTAGAAAGTATAAAAATCTATATATTATGTGAAAGCATCAAAATCTTTATATTATGTGAAATTATCAAAATCTGCATAAAATATTTTTAGAAGTTCTATTAAATTTTCACGAATTAGGAAAATATCACAATATTTTAGAAACGCCTTAAAATTCCAAAAGTATCAAATGCTCACAAATGTAAAGCATCAAAATTTGTTTAAGATATTTGAAAAACATAATTACTATTAAATTTTCCTTAACTGTGAAAGTATTACAATCTATTAATATTTGAAGGTACAAAATACTAATCTTGACTACCACCAAAAACTTATACTTAATAATTTCCTGAACTTTAAGAAAATATAATATAGGTTTGGAACAATTGATGAAGTAGCTTAAATTTAGTTTAAATAAATAAAAATATGTTTATTGCTTTTGTTTGAAAGTTCTTAAAGGCATAAATCATTTTCAATTGCAATTAATTATTAGAGATTAAAACAAATATTGCTTAGACAAGAAAATTTTTTATGACTTACATTACTTTTATTAAAATTTAATTCATAGAGATTATATATTGCTTAGGTCGAAACGTATTTAAAATATGTGCACCATTTTCAATTAAATATTGCTATTAAAAATGAAATTTATATTACTTTGGTCGAAAAATTATACATTATTTTCATGTAAGATATGTACATTATTTTCATGTAAGTTTAACTAGTAAAGATTAGAACATATATTGCATAAGTTGAGAAGTTTTCAAAGACAATACATTCATTAAAGTAAAAAAGTATGTTCTCATTCTTTACGAGAAATACGATTGATAATTTATCAAGATAAAAAAAAAAATAGAATAATTTCATAAAGAAACACTTTTTATTATTTGATTTTAAAAGTTAATTTATTTTAAAGTTTCAGATGACGTAAGTTTTACTTTTGAGTCTCTACTATCAGTTTGTTTTCGTTTTATAAATAATCATTAATTACTAATTGAAAGGGATATCTTTATTATTTAGTTTTTTCGTTACCATTTTCCATTTCTACTAGGTATACTCTTCCTTTCCCCTTTGTTTAATGGATGTTAACAAGTGTCATTACCTAAATTAGTCATTTTTTGAAGGGTTTATTTTTCAAAATTTCATATAGTGTGAAAAAAAATATATCAAAATTTTTTCAAATAAATATTTTATCTCATTTATAAGTTTACTTTCTTCTAAACTATATATTTATTTTTACATTAAAAAACACGTAAGCGCATTCAATAGCGCTGTTTTATTATAATAAAACAGTTACGTTAATAATTCTGATACTTTAATTCTTTCGTCATCATAATTCTGATAGTTGTGTTATAGATAATTACTTTGAAATATGGCTGACAGTTTCGTTAAACTGAATACGTTGCTCAAAGAAAAAAAGAAAAAAACAACAACTTTGACTTACAAAAGAAAAAAAAATCAACTTTTACACATAACAAAAAAAAGATCAACTTTGACATATAACAAAAAAATTAATCACATTTTTATATCGGAATGACACTTAAGTATTTCTCTAAAATTATTTAATTTCCCATCCATTTTCCAAAAAACATTTATTGTTCCATGCATGTTCAAAATGTACGAAACCACGCTATTATTAAAAAAAATCGATTAAAGTAAAGACATACTCGTAAAGATAAAAGCAAATTAATAAAGATTAAATACATTGATTTAATAATTAATTGAAATTATTTATCCATATTCAAAATAATTTTTCGAACAATAAATATTTTTTTCTATGTTATTGTGAAATATTTCTGCAACAAAATGCCATTTTCTTACACGCGAAATCTATAGATAAGGATTATCCAGAAAATGTGACGCACGCGTCACCATTAATTTATTGTACAGAATAATCTGATGTCTTAAAAGTCAATAAAAAACGTTCTATTATGGTATTAACTTTACTTGAATAGAAAAGTATACTTCATAAATAGTGGTTACTAAAAGCACATTAACATAAATATCGATAAAATCCTGAATTAGTTAACGTTATAGTTCCCTTTTTTTGAGTAGTGCCTATTACTGGTAACACATAACAAACATTTGGTGGATAATGTGGCCATTTTAAACTCTAAGTCCATCACGGAAAATAGTTTTACGAAATGCTAAGAATAAAAAGAATTAAATTTATACATTATTGATTAATTAATTTGTATTTAACAAACAGTTTAGTAAATATAATTGAAAGAAAATACTTTTTTTCAATCTCTCAAAATCATACGATTTTGATAATTTCTTTATAAAATTTTGCACATGTTTCCAGAATTTTTATGCCGTAAGAAAATTATTCTTAGAAATTTAGCTTTTATTAGTAGCTTTTGTAAGCAATTTTATTTAGCATTTGACAGCAATTTTCTAGTTGATTTTACTTTTTGTCAATAACGTGCAAAAAATGTCTTTGAAAAATTGCAGCAATCATTACAAGGAATTTATAAATACAGATCTTGTAACACAAATTATGCTGATGATAAAGTTTACTTCTATTTTAAACAATAAACTTTTTTTTCATCAAATTTGCATATTTTTCAAAAGAGCTTGTTTTTGAAGTTCTGCTCATAAATACTTTTACGGCTTATTAAGTAACAATGAGAAACTACACTATTTGTTTAATTTAGAAACTTGTTTTAGCAGAAATATTGAACTAGTGAATCCCAAATTATTAAAAAAAAACATTATAATGTATTTTGCAGGGTCTTTTTTCCCCAAATTATTGAAACGAATCCATTGTATGACAACGTTTCAAAATACACCTACGATTCCTAGTAAATAATTCATTTTCGATGTGAAATTAAACATATATCGAGAGAATTGTTCGATTTAAAATGAAATAATACAAGCTACTTGACTAAAATCTTGATAGCGTCTTCTTGAACCAGTTTACCAAATTACAAGAAAATATTTTTTGCTCCGAATTTATTTTTAGCTAGTTTTACTTTTACTTAAAATGAAATTTACCATGCCTTTTACATCTGAATTTTTTAATTGAAAAAATATTATTAATAGTTTGCTGTAATTTAAGACAATCAAAAATTTTCCATTTATATTATTTTTTACCTGAATTTTCCAATCCACTGTTTTTTATTGCATTCTTTTAATTTTTTATGAATAAATTAACTTTCTTTTGGATCAATTTTCTAATCTTCTTCTTAAAATAAATAAATAATTAAGAAGAAAGATACGTCAAGTCCCAACAAGTCCCAAAATTAAAAACATTATATATGCATACATAAAAAGATGGAGTTTGTTTAAAAATTTACCTCTTAATGACCGTTTTTTTTAAAAAAAAAGTTTGTTGCTTAGCAAATGAACACAAAAACGAAAATGTGAATGTTGAACCGAGAAACAATGTTGCGTGTTAGATAAAAATCATAAACAAACCTCTACAATCGATGTCAAATGGTTAATTTACTGAATGCATGGGTCAATGTCGCAGACTAAAATTAGCACAGTTTCTTTATAGTTAATAGTAAATCTTTTTACACAGATCGAGGAGGAACGCAACTGTTTTAAAACATGCATAAAATAATACTCTACAATCGATGTCAAATGATTAATTTTACTGAATGCATGAGTCAATGTCGCAGACAAAAATTAGCACAATCTCCTTATAGTTAATTGTAGATCTTTTTACACAGATCGAGTAGGAGCGCAACTGTTTTAAAACATGTATAAAATAATACTCTACAATAGATATAAATTGGTTAATTTTGCTGAATGCTTGGGCCCATGTCGCAGACAAAAATTAGCACAATCTCCTTATAGTTAATTGCAAATCTTTTTACACAGATCGAGTAGGAACGCAACTATTTCAAAACATGTATAAAGTAATACTTAACAATAGATATAAATTGGTTAATTTTACTGAAATGCTTGGGTCAATGTCGCAGACAAAAATTAGCCCAATCTCCTTATAGCTAATTGTAAATCTTTTTACACAGATCGAGTAGGAACGCAACTGTTTTAAAACATGTATGAAATAATACTCTACAATTGATGTCAAATTGCTAATTTACTGAATGCATAGGTCAACGACGCAGACAAAAATTAGCACAATTTCGTTATAGTTAATTGTAATTTTTTTTATATAGATCGAGTAGGCACGCAACTGTTGTAAAACATGTATAAAATAATACCCTGTAATCGATGACAAATGGTTAATTTACGGAATGCATGGGTCAATGTCGCAGACAAAAGTTAGCACAATTTCTTTATAGTTAATTGTAATTCTTTTTGCACGGATCGAGTTGGAAAGCAACTGCTTAAAACATGTATAAAATAATACTCTACAATTGATGTCAAATGGTTAATTTATTGAATGCATAGGTCAATGACGCAGACATAAATTAGCACAATTTCTTTATATTTAATTTCAAATCTCTTTACACAGATGGAGTAGGAACGCAAAATATGTAAAATATTATACTTGTATAAAATAACATGTATAAAATAATACTCTACAATCGATGTCAAATGGTTAATTTACTGAATGCATGGGTCAATGTCGCAGACAAAAATTAGCATAATCTTCTTATAGTTAATTGTAAATCTTTTTACACCGATCGAGTAGGAACGCAACTATTTTAAAACACGTATAAAATAATCAAGCTAAACGTACGGATTCAAAAATTGTATTAATAAGAAAACTTCTAAAACTATATATTATTATATTTCGTTTTTATAATAACCTTTATAATATGTTTTTTTTTTAAATAAATGCTCGTTTTTGTTTAAATAAGAAATATACCAACCTTTTCAGGGATTGTAAAAATTAAAAAAAAATAATAATAACTAATCATTTAGCTGTTTACTTGAATAAATTTAAAAAAAAATCATTTCTTATATCTTTTCTATGAAATACAAATATAACAATGAGCTTTTCTTTTCCATTTTATTAAAATATATTTGAAGAAAAATTTCTAATATTCTTATAATAAATAGAATGCAAATTTAATAAGTAACTTTTATTTTGCTTTTCCTTAAATTAAATTTGAACAAACATTTCTGATATCTTTTCAATGAAATCCGAATAAAACTTCGAATGAACTTTTATTTAGAATTTTTTTAAAATAAATTTAATGAAACATTTCTGAAGTCCCTAATGGGCTTAACAAACTAAGAAGCTCAAATCTGTTATTCTTATAACCTAATGAATTTTTCCTTTGCTTTTTTAAAAATATAAGAAGAGACATCTTTAATATCTTTACAATATAATACAAACTTTATGAGCAAGAGGAATTTCAGGAATAGCTCGCTTTTCAATATTTTGTTAAAATCATTTTATTTTTTATAATAAAGCATTTATCTTTTGAACAAAAAAAAAAAGCATTGAATGTTAGGAAAAAACTTTTTGACTAACTAACTAGAAGGCTAATATATTTATTATTACTTATTAACATATAACACAATATGATTAATTTATATTATTTCGAATACGAGGATAAACCTAAAGGCAAGCAACCTAGTTTCTGAAACCAATAAAAGTTTCAACAATGTTATTTTGAAAACTCTGGAATTTCCGATTCCCACACGGAGTGAAACAATAACAAAGCCATTTTCCGAAAATTCTAAATCAATTTCGATAAAATAAAAAAAAAGATAATTGCTAAGCCTTCAACGTCTGACTATTAAGTCTCACGACTTAAAAAACTATCAATTTTTATTCTTAAAATCGATAGAAAAAAAGCTGAAAATGACATATAGTATGGGAATGATAGGCATAAAATGTTGTACGCTTCGCCAAATGCCCAGGGAATTTATGAGAAGGAAAACGACTTGTTTCAAACGAAAGGGAAGAACCAAGAACTTCCTGTCCAAATAAATCATTTTCGCTTCTCGGATTCACAGACTTAATGAGTTTCTCCCGGTGTTTATAAACTACTTTTAAACTAATTTTAAAACACTACAGATATTATTAGCTTTCATAATGTAAGCCGGTCATATTTGTAAAGATTTTATGAGCCGACTGGAAAATTCTCATCATAGATGTTTTGAAGACGAATTCTTTTACCTTGTTATGCTCCGTGCAAATGATACACGTTTTAAATGTGTGGTTTCTCTCTTTTTTTTTTTTAATATTTTAAACGTTTAAAATATGGCATTTTTTTAAAAACAAAAATGAATTACGATTCTTTTTAAAATCTGTAGCAGTATGATCATTTATACATAGTAACTTAAACAAAGTATAATAATATTATTAAGATTTGATACAATTTTAGTACAGGGTTACACATAATTCCCTCTGGGGTTTCGAAGCGTTATAGTTAAAAAACGAAGACGAATATGGCAAAAAATAACATATGAAATTGTTCCGAAAGTATTCAAGTTTTAATTTAAGCAGTTGCCGGTAGATGTAGTAAAGAAAAATGGCGTTTACAGGCGGAGGGAATTATGAATAACCCTGTAGTTGAGATTAGATTATAGATTGTAAGTATGGAGGGCTTCCGATCTTTTTAAAATTTTTTTTTAATTTTTGGTAACGCTTGCAAAGGGGTTGAAAGTGACAGACCCCTTTCATTTCCTGTCCATTTTATATGATTTTATGAAACATTCCAAATAAAGGGCATCGCATAACTTCTTTTGATAGATTTTTTTGTTGGAAGATACGAATCCTTCCTTCACTATTTTTTAATTAATTTCTTCACTATTTCTTAATTACTGACTAATGATAGGGTTATGACTTTGAGAAGTTATGCCTATCCTTAGCCCTATCCTTAGAGACTTCAGGAGTAATATGGAAATAAGAAAAAAAAACAAAAATTTCGTTGTTTAGTTGTGCAAGTGAAGTGAATAATTGGAGTCTAATAGAATCATGCAATTAAAAGCATTAAGCGTGGAACCGTAAACACAATAATAATTTTCTGGGTTTTCAAAATGGTAAATACATCTCCACTTTCTTCTACTTCCTATTACTCTGTAATTTCATATTAAAAACAATAAACCGAAACATATAGGATTTTAAGTTTATAAAATTATTTAGTTATTTAAGAAGTTTTTAATTGTAATAAGTACTTTGCCCATAAGTTCATTTTTATCCAATCGTGTACGTAGTTTTACATGATCGGCTACGTAATAAAATATATACGAATTTTTGCAGCTTTTATACCAAACTCATGCTCGAATTTAAGTTTCTTTCTTTTTTTTCTTTCAAAAAGTTAATTTGCAACTCCCTCTCTTACACCACAACAAGTAATGCTTCATATTTTATATATTTTAAGTAAGTTATATTCTGTAAACTTAATGTCCCTGTAAGCTTATCAGCTTCCTTCTAAGCCGAGCTTATCGGCTTCTCTCTGCCTAGGCCTTAGTCATTTATTACTTCTTTACATTTTTCATCAAGCGTGTTTCAATATAGCTTAATTTAAATTTTATATCAGCTTATTATGTGTTATCATCGAAATATTACATTAATACTTTATAAGAAAATGCCTATGCATTTATATTTGTTTACATAAATCAATATCTTAAGATATTTTTAAATCGAAATTTCCTGCGCTTTTTTATATCAGAAATGTTTTTTTTTAATACATATAACACAATTTCTTTTTGATAGAGTGAGAAGTAACAAAATTCAAACTTGTGCATGTTAACAGCTATTGCTTCTATTACCTGGGGTCACTTCCTCTTGATAGTTATCGCTATTATTTGCTTTTAAAAATTAGCAAACTAAACTGTAGTTTAAAAATATGTACGCACCATGTTTTAGATCTGCGTTCTTGCCTGTATCTGCTTCCTTCAAGTTTGTTGTTCTGAAACATCTAAAGCGGACAATGCCTCTGATGTCACAACTTCTTTGCCTGTGAGTGAAGAAGCAGAGAGTAAATTAGTGGAAACAGCAGTTAAGCTGGATGGACAAGAATCTTATCAAATATCCAAAGCAGAGCCATATCCGCATAGTGATCATGGATACATCCAACAAACTTCTCTTTATAAACAAGATCCTTACAAAAGTAAGCACTCTCTTTTTTCGACTTCATAGCATTAGAACTTTGAAAAAATTTATTATATTGTAAAACAAAATGTTTGCTTCTTTGCAAATCTTGAAAATGACACTTTCAGAATGTCAGACATACACATTTTTTAAGTTTTGAAATACATCAGAAATTTATAACTCATTTTATATTTCATAACAGTAGTTGAACAGCCGACCAATTTTGAGTTCACGATCACCAGTTTTTAACACCATAGTCTTGTAGTTTTGAACCCAACCCAGAAGGCAAGGACTCTCCTGGATCAAGTATTGATTGAAATTTGCCTTCGTGGAGGACTTTTTGATGGAATTAACCTGCATTTGCGTAACATTGTGAGGGAGACCTACCACGGTTAGCCTGACGGCAAAGGGACTCTAACCTGTGACCCGTCTACCATTGAGGATAGTTATGTTAACACTGTGGTCAGGGTGAGTCAGGTGCGTGATTCGTGTCCACCAGTCATCGCAGTGATTCGGACCCGGATCACCTGATTAGGAAGCGAGAGCTCTATCCTCTGAATCATCATGTTTTTTTTAAAAATTATTGCAAAAATTTACATCATTTAAAGAAAAATTAATTTAATCTTAATTCCAAGATAACATTAGTTTCATTCATGCATAGGTTAAAACACGCGCAAGGTTTTTTTAAAAAAAATTAACTTCAAACTTATGTAACATTTTTTACATTTCATTATAGGTGAAGATCAGTCTTCGCATAGCAAATATGGCGGTTCATTCGAACATTACAAGCAACAATATTTGAGTCATCAAGCCCCAGCGTACCATACCGCCAATCAGGATTCACATCATTCTGGCTATGGATCTGATGGTTACCATAAAGATAGAACTCATCACGAGCAAGTGCATGTTGAATCGGATTACGGATATCCCCATAGCGGCAAATATGAAGTTGACGGATATGGCAGCGATAAGAGTATTCCATACGGCACTAAGCTACCCGTTAGAACCAAAGAAAAGTCATACCCACGTTATTCTAAAGAAATCGGCCAGAAGCAGCGTGAGTTATATAACTCTGCTAAGTATAGTGATGATAAATCTAAATACATTGCTCAAGAGGTACCATCCGAAGAGTATGGCTCCAAATCATATTACGAAAACTCAGATTCTGGAAAGGGAGATGAATACGTTTCTAAGGAACAGTCTTACAGCTCAAGTCAAGGTGAAACATCTTACGGACACGAGTCTCCTCAAATAAGCCAGCAATTAATATACGAACAGTTAGACGCAAAACATGAAGATGGAAAATCGGGGTACAGTTCAAGCGGTGGCCATGCATCACCTGAAATAGCTCAGCATTTAATATATGATCAATTCGATGCAAAAGACGTCGATGGCAAATCTGGATACAGCTCCCATGGTGGATATGCATCTCCCCAGATAGCTCACCAATCATATGATCAATTAGATACAAAACATGTTGATGGCGAATCGGGATATAGTTCCCATGGTGGACATGTATCTGCACAACTTCACCAACAGCAATATTATGATCAGACAGATGACAAGCACGTTGATGGTAAATCAGGATACAGCTCTCATGGCGCATATGCATCACCTCAAATTACTCACCAATTATATGATGATTCAGATACAAAACATGCCGACGGCAAATCAGGTTATAGCTCCCACACTGCACATGCACCTGCACAACAAAATCAGCATTTATATGATCAAATTGACGTCAAGCACCATGATGGAAAATCGGGATACGATTCTCATGGATCTAAAGAAATACACCAACCTGCAGTTGTTACATCTTATTACTACAGAGGAATTAAAACTCACAGGTACACATCTTTACTAATAGCAAATTAAAATAATGAAGTGATAGAAGAAAATAAATTTTATGTCATGTATCGCGGGTGAAATTTAAATTTTTACTTCATTAAAACAAATTAAAAATAATTATTAAATATCCACTCAAAAAATGAAAGGACTCTCAAAAACTTACTTAGTTTTTTTTAAACGTAAAAGAACTTTTTATTTTACTGTTTGACTTTTCTTAAAATATGTTTTAAAAAGGTCAGTAATTAAAACGTAACTCGTAAATGTTGTTAACTGCTGTTATCCCATTTCTTATCTGTAATATTTTAAAATTTATTTATTGCTTAATTTACGATTGTTTCTAATTTCAAAATGAAAAAATAGTAGAACAAATGTTATTTTCTTATAGTAGTAATAGTAGTTTTTTCTAATAGTAATAGTTTTCTAGCATTTCTGAGTAGTAGTTTTTTTCTATAATAATAGTAGTACTTTTTTTCTTCATGTAAGTTTATTATATGTTATGCGTGTTTACTTAATATAAGTTTATTATAGTGTTTTTTTTTTTTTTTTTTTTTTTTTTTTTTTTTTTTTTTTTTTTTTTTTTTTGTAATTTATGTGATTAATTGGGCTACAAACTATTGCTGAGTTAGAAAATTCAAACTATTAAATTATTTTTTGAAAAAGATTACAGTCAACTTAATTAAATATTAGAAACTTAGTTCCTTACTCTGTTTTTCTAAAGAATACTTTAATAGTTTAATTTTAATATAGAATTTTAATAATAATTTAATTTAGAACAAACATCAAAATTTTACATTATTCATTACTAAATATTTTTAACTTTTGTTGGTGCAAAAGCATCGCCATGAAATACTGTTAAGATGCATGAAATCTCTTTCTTATTTACTTTATTTGATTTTTTTAAAAAAAATAATATTTATCTATATCTTACTTAGCTCAATTCCAGTCAAGACTGACAGCAAAAAATATGTATCAAGTGGTCAAGAATATTTTCCAGTAATCCCTAAAGAGGCTGAATACATTTCAAGTGTAAAAGAGCAATCATACGCACAGGATGCAAAGCTCGGAGTTGTACCAGAAGATGGTCAATATGTTAGTGGACTCTCAAAACAAACTGGGGATGGCAAAATGGCGATCTATATAAAGCAACTGGGCCATTCTTTGACTGGAGACAAGTATGGTAAAGGTGGAGAACGACATGGTTTCCTTTTGCTTCCCGTTTTACCCGGTAAACAGAACGATGCTGTGCAAATTGCCCAAACAAACTTTTATAACATTGGTGGCAATAAATATGGCAATATCCATCAAGGGGTTGACACATCTGCTTATGGTTACAGGTGAGGAAACCTAGCTATAAATATTTATAGTTTTAATTTATGGAATACTTATTGTGATATTTGTTTCAAGCAATTTGTAAGTTGCAAACAAATAAGAGTTTAATAAAATTCATTGACTTATTTTCCGATCGATACAACTTTTTTAACTTCATGTTGTTAAGCAAATAAAGTAAACTAGTGGGCTGCGCCCCCTGCTCGCTAACGCTCGCCAACCCCTGAAAATTGCTACGCAATCTTATATGGTTTGCTTCGCAAACCAATAGGTACATTGCAAATGCACAAAATTCTAAGAATTCAAAACAATCATTCAAATCCATGTAACAACTTTAAAAAAAAAAAAATTACATCTTTTTAGTAAATACTAAGTCATTAAAATAAATTTGAATTCAAATAAATGACATGTAATTCGTTAAACCTATTAGAAATGTGCTATAGTATAAAATCTTAAGATAAAATTTCTAAAACTGATATTTCTTTAAAAAGGTTAAAATTTTGGCTATAATTAAGTCTATTAAAAATTTAAATAAGTGAATTGCAATGGAAAAACCTGCATAAACAAATAAATTCTAGTAAAACAAATAAATTCGTGATATAAATCAAAAATCGTCAAATAAATTCGTAATATATAAATTCGTGAAAAAAAGCGCTTTCGACAAAATACTAAAATAGAGATCTATCGACAAAGACTACTCACTTTTGCCTAGCTTATGCTCTCTCTGGTTATTTCAGTTTCCGTTTTTAAAAGCGCTATATGTTGAGCCATCTCAGCTAGATTTGGCATGCGACATTTTTAACGGCAATCATTGGTCGATTTTCTAGCGTTGCCGTTCGGGGAGTTGTAATGAGGCTTTGTTTGTCGCCGTGTAAGAGAAATATATATATAGATATTGTAAGTGACTTCAGGAAGCATTTTCTTTATTTACTGAGAAAAAAAAAGCGACACAATCTATAACAATGTTTATGACTATAATTTTAGATCCAATAATTGTTATAATTTATGCATGATCTCTGTTATTTTGTATGGGCATGATTAATGCTTTAAAAATTTATAATAATAGTCATAAGAAATTTTGCACCAGTACCTATTTTAACGTAACGAAATGCTTATTCCTTTTTACATCTAACGAAAAAAAATATAGGCATCAGTGTCACAGTGATTAAAATACAGAATTGTCACTGTGAAGGACTGGGGTTCGAACCACGGAGGAGTCTTGAAGCCTACTGTACCTATTATATTCACTGATATACGGAGAAGAATATTCTGGTAAAATTACCGTTAAGTATGGTAAAGGCATTTTATTCAAAAGAAAATCATAATTTCGTTAATAAAAACCCAAACTATATTTTATTTAAAACAGCCATTTGATAGTTTTTCTGTTCATATGGTAATGATTTTAAGAAAATTCTGGTTTTCAAAATTATAGTCCTTATTACCACATATTTAGTAAAAAATGCAATACTGAAAAGTAAATTGAACATCATAAATGGTTTTCATGCTATGTTCTAAGTTATCATGATAAAAATTATCAAATTTTACCATGATTTCTTAATTTTATCACATATTATAAGACCATATTTTATTGTTAATTTTAACATATTCATTACCAAGACGATTCGGTAAAAATTATCGAAATTATTGGTGTACTCATAGAGTCAGAAACGCGGTAAATTTCACCATATTCTGGTAGCTTTGATCATACTTTTTCTCATTGTATATCTATGCATTATCTTTTATGACTCAAATCAGATTTAAAATGTTTTAAAATTTTTACCTATTTTTAAAAGCCACGATGCAAAATGGTCTGATTTCTCCAAGACCTCAAACAACCTTATGGCTCAAAAAAGATGAAATTTTGAAATTTACTCCTTCGCCGATAATATCAATGCCAAACACTTTCAAGCTATATATTACAGATCGAAACTATACGGCCAATGCATCTCTATTATTTTTAATACTTTTTGCTACAACCCGCTAACGACGAAATAATTAACATTACTGGAATAGAAAATTGGCATAAATAATCTATTAGTTGAATAAAATAGCAAATTTGTATGAATAAATCCTACCAAAATATATTCGCCTGTAATTTTTTCTAGAAATTTGGATTTCTCAATTTTTGTTTTAAACCTTTTTTAAATTCTGTTTTAAAACCAGGGTTGACCCATTTTTGTGTTTGCTATTATCCAAGACAAGGCAACTTTTGGATTAAGTGTGAAGACACACTAGTCTTCGTAGAGGACTTTGAAGTAACCCACATTTGCGTTGCATGGAGAGGAAACCACGAAAACCTCACACGGTTAGCCCAGTTCCAAAGGAATTCTTACCCATTATCTAACCACTGAGGATATTTTATGCTCTAAATATGATTGGTGCGAACAGTTCCGAGCAGTCGTTACCGAGATTCAAACCTGGTAACTTAATCGAAAGGCGAATATTCTATCCCCTTAACCAACTTAATTGATTTTGCATTGCATCTTTTTTAAGAAAATGAACTAAACGTACTCCATCTTCTAAAGAAGGAAATAATTGGATTTGTAGACTTAAGGCAAAAAAATTATAATAATAAATAAATAAATGAAAACTAAATGGATTTATTAATAATTAGTGTTTGATTTGTGTTCTAACTAAATGTGGCCGATATTTATTTATTTGTTTTTAACTAGTCCAATTCAAGAAGATCATGAAAAGATTTCAACTTACAAAGGAAAAGGTGGGATTCATGTTCAAGAACTAAAATCTCTTTACCAAAGCCCTGAAAGCTATAACCAAAGGTTATTGATAAGCGATATTGGAAAAACAGCTACACATGGTTCGAGTTACGATGATGGAGGTAAAGGTAAATCAAGTCACTACGGCACAAACAAAGTAAGTTTGATTAAAGAAAATCATGTGATTTTTAAAGTAATTACAATTTTTAGAATTTTTGGATTTCATTATGTACAATTTAAATCAATTTAATTAAATTAAGCGTTTAACAAGTCCTATTGTACAACTGAATACTGAAAATTGTATTCTGTTTCGATTGAAATTTTATTTAAAATAGACATAAAGATAGTTTTTATTTTATTAAATAGATTGCTTTTTAAACAGAGTTTCTTTTTAAAGTAAAACTACTTATTGAAACACATATTTTGATTGATAAAAATATAATAATTATCAGTAAAAATAACTATAAATACCATTTTATTTAATGCATAATTTTGCATTTAAAAATGCTGAAAATACAGGAAAAAACATGGGAACTAAATGGGTACATATTTTATGGTACCACCAGTAATTTTTTTATGAAAAATTACTTTTAACATTTGCAGTGCAGTATTAAATATTTTCCGACACACCTAAAAGTATTGTGTTATAAAATTCAAAGAAATTTTCTTTTTATTGTATTAGAATTATATTTTGCTTTAAACATAATTTGATACATTTGATATATTAAATTTTTGATGGCACATATTTTTGCCCCGCTGAAAATGTTAGATCGAATTAAAATTATTGTCTGGTTCAAATTTTCAGCGTTGTCAGAAAGGCGACGGAAATATTCGAAGAATTTTCTCACATTTAATCTAAATGTTGGACATATTTCTCACTTGCTTTCAAGCTTGACTTAAGTTTTTTTTAAAGGGACACATAAAAATTATAAGGAAGCTTCAATATGATTCCGGTATTTTATTTCGAGCCTTTATAGTTTTTCTAATAACAGCCGTCTGAAGTTCTCAAATAAATATGTTCACGCGTTCTTTAACAATAAGAATGCGCTGTTTAATTGCATACGTTGTTGACAAAATTCTATTTATACCAACAAAAAAAGGTAATTATTACCATTCGCCGTTTTTCCTATCAAGAATTCTAGGGGGACCAAATCATATGGTAATATCAATAATAGACTACGAAGCATTAATCAGCATGAAACTAACAAAAACTATGAAAATATTTACGTATGAATTATTTATTTATCTTTTATTTATCATTAAATCCTATATCGGATTAAAACCCCTAAAACACCGGATTGTAAGCTATCGATGTTTTACCCACTATTCTAGTAAGTCTCACAGAGTTTCCATGAAGCTCAAGTCAGGGGAATTTGCTGGCCAATCGAGATCTACTGTGTATGAGTGCTCATTAAACCAGTCACATCATCTTCCAGCTCCATGCAATTTGTTGCTTTCTTTTTTTAATATAGAAGTATCAACAGTATGCTGATCATGAAGATGTTGATTGAAAAGAGCACTTGATCACCCAACCTGTTAAAATGTATCGCTCTGATCAGATTACTGGTTACCTCAATGACCGGACCCAATCAATAATGAGAAAAATTCAAAAAATTACAAATCCTAAATCAAGCTGGAAAGTCCTAATTTTATGCTTTATAACAGGGCTGTCCAACTGCAAAGAGCCCACGGGCTAGAATTCCGGTCACTGATCACCTGGCGGGCCGCAGTTTGAAAAAGTTGAACAATAACATCTTACCTGTTATACAATAACAATTAATAGTTGAATTATGAATTATAAAACAATGGAACAGAAGGATTATAAGACAATTTGCTTACATTTTAATGGGAAAACTGAGGCCGATCAGCCTGAATAAGAAGTTGGCGGGCCGCACACTATATGTTGGGGGGCCGCATGCGGCCCGCGTGCCGCCAGTTGGACAGCCCTGCTTTATAACATGCAGGAATATATTTACCCAAATTATTTTAGTGAACAATTTTAGTTAAAATGGGTCGAGTGCAGCATAGCTCTATATTAAAATTAATTAAAACTTATAAACAAGTTTATTTTATCGTAAAATAATTCATTTCTTTTTTTAATACTAATTTATTATTACTCTTGCAGGAAAATATTTACGTGCAAGATACGAGTTCGTACGGTGAACACGGTTCCTATAAAGACCCCGTACACCCATCTCCTTTCAAGGGATCTTCATTCAAGCCAATCATTCCGAAAAGTAATCAAATAATTTCTAATGGATATGGAAGCGTTAACCACGAAGAATATAACAACCAAAAAACTCATCAACGCCTAGGAAAATCCTCCTACGAGCATCAGTCACCTCTTCAGTATTCAAAGGTAGGGACAGATTTCAACTTAGTTCCATTAATCACTCGCGATCAGTGCGAGCANTAAATATATATATATACATATTAACCTTTTTTTTTGGGAGTTCATCTTCTAAAACGTTTGTTGGCATGTCTGATAATGTAAAGTCACGGGGAAGGGTAACAAATAACAAGAAAAAATTTATATTAAGTATTAACTCAGAAGAAAATTTAGAGCAGTGCTATAAAAGCAGTTCGTAATAGAAATATTTGCGTCGTTAGTCATTGTTTTCGAGACTAATAAGATAGGTCTTGACTCTTGCGAATTATTATTGTGAAAACAAAAAATGTAAAACTATGTACAAAAAAGCAATGAGAAAAATTATAACGTTAATAAAGAGAAGTAGCCACAGTATCGCATTTGTTTGTCAAAAATAATTGCAAAATAGTAATATCACACCTAAATATTTACGGGAATATTACGCTCATAATGATTACTTAATCAATAATTTCTTTATTTTATTGGAATCTCTCCGGGAAAAGCTTCTAGTAGTTAAAAAGTTACAATTTCTTTTTGAAATTAGGTAAATTTCTATATAATATAAAGTTTACACAAAGTGTTTATATATAAGTATATTAGTATTTATACAAAAACAAGTTCAATTTATAAATCTTTTTTTTTCTCCATTTCAAAAACAAGAAAGCCTATTTAACTATAGCAAAATAGAAAAGCTCGTGCTTAACGGTAATATCATAAGAACTTTAAAAGTAAATAAATAGCTGGTGTTTAAATTCTTCGATAGTTTATGAGATTATCTGCATTTTAAAGGAATACTCTATATGCAATAACTAAATAAAATATACACAATTAATTACCAAAAATTTAGTTTGATATTATTTATAATATTGGTTTATTATTAATTAATTAATTTCTATCGTTTCTGAACAAAATCATAAATTTCTCTAAAAACAGAATAATTGGTATTGTATGATTATATGAAATTTATCATTGTCCATTTTGATTATAAATAATGGATGATTCATATTCAAATAAATGTATTAATTACATTGATAATTACTTACAATTATTTGTATTTCACTAATTTAACTCGGAAATTAAATAATGAATTGTTTTTTAAACAATTATTATGAATTGTTACACATTTGACATATTCAATCCAAATTCTTCCCAAATTATACAATATTTTTTTAATAAAGCAAAATTCGAGGAAAATGCTTTGAACTTCTTTACACGATTTAAAAGAAAACAATATTGATTGAAAATATTAACCAAATAATAAGGAAAAAAATCGATCCATAATTTTTTATACAAACTAAAAAAAAATTAAAAAGTTTGAAATTGTTAAATAGCTCTAAACTTAAGAAACAAGCGATATTGACTCCAGAATAGTTCTTTTTTATGGATAATAAGTATACACTGATTAATATACTTCTTAATATTCCATGAACTTGTTACTATGCATGTCTGCCTAATTGCACGATTGTTTTAAATGTAAACTTTAGTTTGTAAACCCTATACTTCGATGAATATGTGTTACGCAGTGATTTCTCTCTGTACTTTATACTTTTTTTTTCCAATAAAGGAATTATTAGAGATGAGCTGACACAAGCTACTTGAATAAACTATAGATTAAAGTATGTGATGTAATACGTAATCCAAGCGTGTAGTTTAATTCAAACTTCAGCTTTATTTCACTATAGATCTAAATCATTAATCCAAATATACAACGAATATTAAATATTTTTATTTCAATTTTAGAGTACAGGATTTCAACCTTCTTATTACTTCCCACCTACGTCATCAGCTCCCCAGGTACCAGTTCCACAATTCTCCAGTTATGGAAAAAGCGAAATACCAAAGTCTTCAGCCCAAAGTCACGGATACAGTAATCAATACGAAAGAGTCCAACTAGCATCTGGTTACTTACCACCTAAACCAAGCATTGCCTCCCAAAAGAGAATTAAATCTTACGCAATTGTATTGCAGCAAAAGCCCCATGAACAAATTCAAGTGGACGGATATGGTGCATCCGCATACCCAGAGGCATCAGTAAGAAAGTCCAAATTATTATCAGGAAGATTTTCAGAATCTCAGTTCAAGCCAATCATCGGAAAATCTAGCTCGTTACATTCAAGGAGTGCTTCTCTATCCCACAATATCAAATCCCAAACGGTTGCAACTGCATATGCACCAGTTGCCTACTCACAACGAGTTTCCAAAAAGTATTAGAAAACTGTATTTATGAAAAGTGCTGAGTTGATCCAAATTAATTGCTCCAATTTTGAATTTCCGTAATTCTATTTTAATTGTAAAGAATGTAGTCGCATAAAATATACTCCCTTACAAGTATTTAAAAAATATTTTTTTCAAATCGTGAACCAGCTGAAGACAATCAACATTAAATAAGAAAAGCAATGTCTTAAATCACAAATGCAATATAACGTACTAAAAACGCAACTCCCCCCTTTAGAAATATGAAGCTTCTCTAGTATTTAATTTGAAATTAAATTCTCTAAAAACTCATATAAATCTTTTTACTTTGTATTTAATTAGAATGTTAAAAACTGTATGTTTAAAATTTATGAGGCTTAGAATAATGCAAAAAATGAAGTTGCGCTTTAAAACACGAGGCAAAACTTTAGATTCACATTTTCCATAAGATTTATATTATAATTAACTTAAAAATTGTGCATATTTTATAAACTATACTTAAAAAATAATTTAAATCCAAAACATATTTTCATCTAGAAGTATTTCAATATGCCGCAGTAAAAATGTAAAGATATATGTATTTTCGAGGGTAGTATACCCTCGAAAATACACATATCTGTGTGTACTTTACTGGGGATGCTTTTATAGTTAGAGTGTCGAGGAAGTAGGAATATTTATCATTGCCAAACTGAATCGAACGTTATGAAGCAAAAACGGCATACGTATGAACGCCTAACTCCAAGAATGGATCATTGAATGAAAAATGTTTCTTAATATGCCTTTTCGATCGGAGATAATCAAATTCTACCATCTACATATTTTTCTGTTGTTTGATCCTAATGACTACACTACGATCGAATGGATTAACAACTGCTTAGCAACTCATGACAAGACATACAGTTACGCCGCTAGGAGCTAATTCTCATTATGAACTGATTGTGCATTAGAACTGATATTTTTAATTACGTATTTTTTTAAAACTTTACGCTAACTGTACTCTTTCTACTAATTCTAATCGAAAGTTCAATTTAAATAGGCATAGAATTAACTTTTCCCCCTAAATTTTTTGTTATCCAATTTGCGGAGTGGACCAAATTGGTCAATAAATAATTAAATAACGGTGAAACAGCTATTTCTAGGCAATAATCATTACAATCCTCTTTTGCATATTTACAATTATCGACAATAATTATTAGAAAACTTAAAATTATCGACAATAAATATTAGACAACTTAAAATTATCGACAATAATTATTAGAAAACTTAAAATTATCGACAATAATTATTAGAAAACTTAAAATTATCGGCAATAATTATTAGGAAACTCAAAATTAAGGTAGGCAATTCAAATAAATGAAAGTACTAGTTCAGATGCACATAAACATTCCATAATAAAAATGCACCTCTGCTGTTAATGATGACGTTTCCAGTCTTGAGATATAGGGTCACGAGCAAAAAGGGTTGATATACAATTCTGAATCTACCCTACCTCCTCTTACAGTTTTGACCTTTAATTTTAAAACACTCACTTTATGAAGTGCCTTAACATTAACATTAAGCAGGGAGAGGCATTTATTGAGCACTTGTGTTTGTATTAATTTGAGCATGTATTAATGGTGCATTTTTGAAGTAGTTATCTAACTTTAATCTTTAATTTGTAATAGAGTATGATGAATTAAATCACAACCCCATTATACGTTGCTCTATCCAGAAACATTCTCTATGTTGTTTAAAATTTGAATGCTAGTTTTAAAACAATTATTTTAAGAAATGTTGATAGATTGTAGTGTTTGACCATCTTTTAGCATATAGAGTGAATGAGTTGAAGGTTGTTGTTTTCAAATGTTAAAGTTTAAAGAAAATGTGCATTTATATTCTCCATGAGAAATATGTTAAAATGAGTTTTTAAATTTCGAAATGACTGGCATTTTATTACTTATTATTATTTTAGTGTATTTTCAAAGAAAAAGAAAAACCAATGTTGAAATTGCAAAATTAGAAAACAATTCCGAAAAAACACAATTCATCGAATCTTCTAAAACACTGCATTCTCTTTCTCACTTGAAATTACTATCTTGATAAATTATTATAAGTTGAACAAAATTTTTAATTCAATAAATATATTAGACTTTGCTTTTTAAAAATAGTTCTCTTAGTGAAATTTTTAAAATTAAGGTAAGGTCTTTAATTACTAAACACTAATTAAACAATAATTTTCTTTATCATGCATAATTGTTTTGCCAACCAGCTGTTATTTTTAAATAAAAGAAAGCTTGAATATTTGTGCTAAATCTATGATGTGAGTTTGAAAATGTTATTTTTTTAAAAATAGTTTTTAAAAGTTTTAGAAAATATTCAAATACATTTTCCAATATTTCACATTGAAAAAGTATGGAGCTTTAAAATTTTCATTTTAAAATATTATGTTATGCTTTGAACATTAACTGTGATAATTGAGTATAAACAGCCAATAAATAATATTTCGTTAGTAATTAATAATACCCTTTTAATCAGTATTAATTTTTGTAAATAAGGGGAAATAGTGATGAACTAAAATTGAACAATTTCAGAAACATAATAATAATAATAAATAATTTTAGAAAAGTTAATCAAAAATAAAATAAATTCGTTAGTAATTAATAATACTCTTTTAATCAGTATTATTTTTTGTAAATAAGGGGGAATAGTGATTAACAAAAATTAAAAAATTTCAGAAACATAATAATAATAATAAATAATTCTAAAAAAAGTTAATCAAAATTAAATTAAATTAAAATTATCTTTTAAATTATTATTATTTCGATCAATTTTAATAACAAAGCAAAAGTTTTCATAGAAAATTTGCTTTATTCAAATTAACCTATAATAATTATTTAACATTTCAAAAACTAAGTTTCAATCATGTTATTTTTATTCAATTAAATCCAACTGCTTTTGTCTACACTTATATAAAATGTTAAATTTTAAATGTGTATGCCAGTTAACATACATTGTTATAAGAAATATATATATAAGAAATATATATATAAGAAATATATATATAAGAAATATATATTGCGTAAAAGGTAATATATATAATATTATATATGGTATTGTTTTTTTTCTTCTTGTCATCAAGTCTATAAGGGAAACGTCTTAGTATGTTATGTTTATATAGCTGTATTCACATCCACCACTCTTATTATATATTTTTCTAACCTTCACCAAAAATAAATTTTGAAAGATATGCGCATTTAGGTTTATACTTAAAAGGCAAAAAATGCTATCAGACTCTGACAATTCATGATCGAGCAAGGCAGAAAACGTAAGAGAACTCTGATTACCAAGGAAAACTGAAAGATATTTATAATAATCTCTGTTCACCTCCTTTCACTTTTCTCTGTCAAACAAACTGGTTTTGATGTGTTCAGTGTCAGCTTGCTCTGTAATGATATGTTAGATTCTAATAGCATTCTTTTTTGCATTTTAATGTTCATTTTCGACCCCTAATGTGCATGTTTTTTTTTACTTAATTTTAAATAAGGATTCAAAAATCTCCGACATTTCGTGTTCGGTACAGCATGCTAAAATTTTCTAAATTTATGATTCTTAACCGCAACATAATTCATACTTACCTCTAATAAACCTTAAGAATTAGCTTTGAAGAGATATTTGAAGCAAAAACTATTTGTCGATTCTTGAAAAAAAATGAAATCAAAACAAAGCTACAAAACATTAGAAATCAATCTTACATATTAAAGAAACTGTATTTATTCACAACTATAGATATTTATGCCTGAATTATAAATTTTTTTCCTAACAGAATAGCAAAAAAAGGCGTAAGACTCACTTTTCAATTTTTAAGAAAAAATAAAACTCTAAACTTAAATCAAAAATTTGTAAAGATTTTTTCCCGAAATATTAAGAATGCTTTTGAACTAAGAACATCAAATCGATGGGTTAATAAATGATATTCTATTTATTTTCAGAAATTTTACAGGACGCAAAAGATATTATTTTATTTATTAAATGTAAATGTATTTTTATTTATTAAAGATATATTTCACTGCTAAAAACCTATAACTTTTTTTGTGAATTAGAAAAAAGATTTTTCTCTCTCTTTTTTTGGGAAGGAAGATTGATATGCAAAACGATTAGTTTTAGTTGAAATAGAAAACATAGTTTAATGACACCTTTCTAATTTTGCGGATGAGTTGTATTGTTTAGACATATATATATATATATATATATATATATATATATATATATTTTTANTATATATATGAGAGAATTTTTTTAAAAAAAAGCTACTAAATGTTAAATTTAGCTTAGAAAAAAAGATCTATATGAGAAATAATTGCGTTTTACAAGGTAATTAAAAGAATTTACTATATTAATAAAAGTTAAATGCGTTTAAAAAAATTTAGAGAAAGTGGGGGGAGTTGGTTTTGTAAACAAAAGTCTAGATTTATATTTAAAAAAAATTAAAGGAAAAATAATATTTATATTTTGTTATACTTGATGTATAGGATCATAGAACAAATCTAAAACTAAATATTTTTTGACCTGATTGATTGAATGTGTATCATTTCCAACTAGTCCATTTATGTATGATATGATTAACAAAAGCGTTATGTATATAATTTTTGTCTTGTGTGCTATGTAATAAAATGTTTTAAATAAACTGTTTTTTATATTAAAAATGGAGTGTTCAATCATTTCTTTTAACTTCTATTTGATTTTCATGATAACATAATTTCAGTTTCTTGTTAAAAACATGGGATTCCTTAACATCAAGACGAAACAAAGTAATACTGAAAACTGTCACCTGTGTGAAATGTGATACATGGCCGAATTTATTAATACACAAGGTGTTTCACAGTGGCAAACCTCAATAAGTATGTTTCTTTTTAAAAAAATTCTTGTCACAATAATATTAAAAGTACATACATGAAGGAAAGCAAATAAGTATGAAAACCAGTACAAAGCAAAAACACTATCGAAACTTAAAAATTCACTACTAAAAAGGGACAAGCTGAAGACATGAAATTATGCTTGATTGCTGGGTGAAATAGAAAGTAGTTTAAAAGCAAATAATAGAAAGATCTTTAAGTTTTTTCAAGCAATCAATTGAGTAAAAAGTTCACACATTAGGAGAAGTTAATAAATATGAAAGTCATTTAAAGCAAGAACGTTATTGAAATCTAATGAGTTACAACTGAAAAAGACTAGGCTTAACAAATCTAAACCTGTTTGATTGCTGGAGGAAACAATTTCATTGGAAACAATTTCAA